TGTTAATAATGATAATAATGATAATAATGATAATAATGATAATAATAATATTAATAATAATAACGATAATAATGTTAATAATGATAATAATGATAATAATGATAATAATGATCATGATAATAATGATAATAATGACCATGATAATAATGATAATAATGATAATAATGATAATAATGATAATAATGATCATGATAATAATGATAATAATGACCATGATAATAATGATAATAATGATAATAATGATAATAATGATAACAATAATAATAATAATAATAATAATAATAATAATAATAATAATAATAATAATAATAATAATAATAATAATAATAATAATTATTATTATAATAATAATAAGAAGAAGAAGAATAATTATAATGATAATGATGATAATAATAATAACAACAACATGAAGAAAATAATAATAATAGTAATATCTTTGTCATCTGTAAAAAGAAATATCCAGAGATACAGGCAGCAGAAGAGAATTGCAGCGTCTTGAAGTCCGTTGTCTCGGAGCAGGAGGGATAACATTAATTGTTTATATTACTTTGTCTGAAACATATCAAATAAGCGTATACCTGTTCCCAAGCTACGAAACAGCACGGCCAGATCTCCCCAGACACTTGTTCAAGGTCAGGTCACATGAGTCAGGTCCGTGAAGTACTGGGAAGTATATATATACTGGGTTCTTATATGTAGAGATGTATCACAACTGTCATCATGAAGTTTTTTATATTCCTTGTTCTCCTGTGTCCTACTGTCGTTCTTAGCGAGGGTTCCACTCCGCGTTTTTGGTGGTGGTGGCCGTCTCGCGCAAAGCCACGTATGCCGTTAACTCTGCCCTTAAGCTGTGGCCTCTCACTATCTGCAAGGATCGTGGGAGGGAATCCATCGGAGGAGGGCGCGTGGCCTTGGATCACCAGCTTGCGCACTACGGGAGGCCGGCACTTCTGCGGAGGAACCCTGGTCTCCGAAAGACACGTCGTTACTGCCGCCCATTGTGTTAACGCTTACAGGTGGTTCTTGAGCCTTCTACGTGTTGCTGTGAGCGGTGGGAGACACGTGGTTGGGGTGTCGGCGGTGGCCATACATCCCGCGTATCGTCGTCGGAATGTCCATGACTACGACTTGGCTATTCTGACTTTGAAGGAAGATCTGATGGTTAGTGCGTCGCTTTCTCCGGTTTGCCTCCCCGCGGCCACTGTCTCTCCTGGTCCTGCCACGGTGATAGGGTGGGGCCGCCTCCACGA